AGCCAGTAAGTCAAGATACCTAGCAAGCAACGTAGCTAATTAGCCAAGTTTGATGTTCTAAAGTGGCATAAAATGAACAGAAATGTCATTAATTTGGTAATTGTCATCATAATATTGGTTCCAGCTCTCTCTTGAGCTGACCTGAAACTTGGACTATAAGTCCTGGTGGTTCTCGTTTGGGTGGGTTGTTGTTTTTGAAACCTTCTTCAGTTAAGTGTAATATATCTGTAAATGGTAGGGACACAAAAATGGACGTTTCTGTAGAATGGCCCATATGCAAAGTAATTGTGCATTAAAATGAGCCTCCCAGTTTGACCAGGGGTGCCCTAACTTTTGCACACACCTGTGTGAGGATAAAGTGAGGGGAAAAAAATCATAATATGATCCATTTAAGAGCTGTCGGCTTATATCATGAGCTTTTCTCCCATTGTTGTGTCGTAGACTGTGAGCTACAGTGGTTATGTTGCCTCCTACATTGAGCCTCGTGTGGGATGTGATGTCATCTCCCCAGAGAGAGTGAGAAAAGGGCTACTGCGGCCAGGAATGTTCCAGAAAAGGAAATAGTTGTGAGTTAATCAAAATGTAAAGCAGATGCTTTGAGAGGGAGCTCCCTGGGATGTTTCCTCCTACATGTTGTAGCTCAGACCTTGTTAGGCAATCCTCCTCCTTTGACAGCGGTGTAGATATGACGAGGAGGAATGGGACAGTGCTGCATATGGGAAGATACATGTACTCTTCTCTAATCACTGTTCTAAAGGAAATACTTCATCCTCATGACACTTAGTGAGTTGATAAGTATCTTTTGTAGAAAGACTGATTTGCTTAGCCTTCAGACCTCCCGTCTGAGAGCGCATGAGCTTTATAAGTGGGAGAAAATAGAGTCACTTGGAAATTAAGACAGCTATGTTACAGCTACTGTTAGCATGAGCTTTAGAACAGGGCTTCCCATCCCTTTACTTACAGCTGTAATTTAGCCAGAAATCAAATTTGCATAGTTTAACCCCCTTACACCAATATAGCCAAGCAGCCAAGACATGTTTGGTCTCCAGAGTTTCACTACTTTACTTTTGCACTGGAGCTACAAAGCTTATATACAACCCCAATTCCAAGAAAGTTGGGACGCTGTGTAAAATGAAAATTAAATGTAAATAAAAACAGAATGCAATGACTTGCAAATCTAGTAGACCCATATTTTATTCACAGTAGAACGTAGAACATATATCAGATGCTGAAAGATGTTGACAGTGTCTGGATGGGAGTGTATGTTGTTCTAAAACCTCTATATACTGTTCAGCATTGATAGAGCCTCTCCAGATGTGTAAGCTGCCCATGCCATAGGCACTAATACAACCCCAGACCATCAGAGATGCAGGCTTTTGGACTGTGCGCTGATAACAAGCTGGATGGTCCCTCTTCTCTTGAGTCCGGAGGACACGGCGTCCATGGTTTCCAAAAAGAATTTCAAATTTTGATTCATCTGACCACAGAACAGTTTTTCATTTTGCTGCAGTCCTTTTTAAATGAGCTTCGGCCCAGAGAAGACGGCGGCGTTTCTGGATCATGTTGACAGATGGCGTCTTCTTTGCATGATACAGCTTTAACATGCATTTGTGTTTTGTATGGCGAACTGTGTTCTCAGATAATGATTTCTGGAAGTGTTTCTGAGCCCATGCAGTGATTTCAGTACAGAATCATACCTGTTTTTAATGCAGTGCTGCCTGAGGGCCCGAAGATCACAAGCATCCAATATTGACCATCGGCCTTGTCCCTTGCTTACAGGGATTTCTCCAGATCCTCTGAATCTTTTGATGATATTATGTACTGTAGATGGTGGGATATCCAAACTCTTGACAATTTTACGTTGAGGAACAGTTTTCTGAAATTTTTCCACAATTTTTAGACCCAGTTTTTGGCAGATTGGTGAACCTCTGCCCATCTTTGCTTCTGAGACACTCTGCCTCTCTAAAATGCTCTTTTTATACTCAGTCATGTGAGTTAGTTGCAAATTGCTCCTCCAGCTGTTTCTTATTAGCACCACTTACTTTTCCAGCCTTTTGTTGCCCCTGTCCAACTTTTTGAGATGCGTTGCTGCCGTCAAGTTCTAAATGAGTTAATATTTTTCATGAAATGGTAAAATGTCTCACTTTCAGTGTCTGATATGTGTTCTATGTTCTATTGTGAATAAAATATGGGTCTATGAAATTTGCAAATCATTGCATTCTGTTTTAATTTACATTTATTTACATTTTACACAGCGACCCACAGCGTTTTTTGGAATTGGGGTTGTAATATAGTCATATGCAGATGTTTGGGCGCCCCAGTCAGATTATAAGTTTTCTTGATTTCCTAATCATCCTCTACAGAGTAAACACTTAAGCAGTTTTTAATGCACAAATATCATTTGTTTGTTTGTTTGTTCATATTTTTTTCATTTATTTCATTTATTTATTTTCCCCCTAATGCATTAAACTTAGCAAAAAGATATTGTGCTAAATTGGCCGAAAGAGTGGCAGTGTGTTCTCTGTAGAGGATGTGTTAAGTGCACATTGAACACAGCAGCACATGTAATTAAATTTATTCTTTTGGCATACGACTGTTATTATTATTATTGTTGTTGTTGTTGTTGTTGTTGTTGTTGTTGTTTTTGGTGTTGTTGGTTGTTTTGCACTTTTACATGAATTCTGTTCATTTGTTTTCAGTATTAATAGAGCATAACTGAAACACTACAAAGTAATGAAACATTTTTTTCTTTTCTTGTTGTTTTATTTCATTGCCTGCTGAAGCACAGTGACCTAATCAAAACTCAGAAGGTGTTTTAGAGATGGCTGATCACTACATTTCAAATCCAATCAAATCTTTTTATCTAAATTTTTTATTTAAGTTAAGTGGAATTATTTTATTTAAGTTGTATTGAATGATGATGTTTGGTTAATATGATGAGGTGCATAAACTAGCCAGACAAAAAAGGTCTATTTTGATTTCAGCTTGTAAAAAAATCCCTTTTCACCTAATGTCTTCAAAAAATGATAATGTTTTACGTTGCAAAGATTTCCTGTACAGATAGCCCACACCTAGTTATTGCACCCTGCTTGTTTTTACAGAAAATAGTAGGTGTGGTTACAAGAATTCACAAACCATCCTGAATCCATTCCATTCCAGGGCTTTTCCCAGATAACAGCTGTTGGGGAATTGCCTGTTAGAAATCATAATAGAGAGGAAAGGAGAACGGCTCCAACACCAACAAATAAATTCTGGACAAAGTACAGTTAAACAAACCTCCCTGCTCTGAAAAGCAGATGAAGGTCTGTATTCATTAATCTCTAGTAGAAGTGCTGATCTGGGATCAGATTCTTCTGTTATCCAGGATGATTTTACTGACAGGAGACTGCAGATCTGTTTCTGCCCTACTGTGAAGCTTCGGTTCTTCTCTTGCTTTCAGTTTTTCAAAGAATTCTATAGGGATCTACTCCAAAGTTCCGTCTACGAAGTTGGTTGCCTTTTGTGTTTATTACGATCCAAGAAATCCTAATTATAAATACAGACTCATCAGTCCATAAAACCTTAATGTTCACAATTTTTTTCCTGTCCTGTCTTGTTTTTTCTTTTCCTGTCCTGTCCTTTTCTGTTCTGTCCTGTCCTTTCCTTTCCTTTTGTGTCCTGTCCTTTCCCATCCTGCCCTTTTCTGTCCGGTCCTGTCCTTTTCCTGTCCTGCCATTTCCTATCTTGTCCTGTCCTGTCCTGTCCTGTCCTGTCCTGTCCTTTTCCTGTCCTTTCCTTTTCCTGTCCTGTCCTGTCCTTTTCCTGTCCTGTCCTGTCCTTTTCCTGTCCTCTCATTTCCCATCTTGTCCTGTCCTGTCCTTTTTTCTGTCCTGTCCTTTTCCTGTCTTGCCATTTCCTGTCTTGTCCTGTCCTGTCCTTTTCCTGTCCTGTCCTTTCCTTTTTCTGTCCTGTCCTGCCCTTTCCTATCTTTTCCTGTCCTATCCTGTCCTGTCCTGTCCTGCCCTTTCCTTTACTGTCCTTTTCCCTGTCCTGTCCTGTCCTTTCCTTTCTTTTCTTTTCCTGTCCTTTCCTGTCCTGTCCTTTCCTTTGACTGCAATTACCTGGCACTGTACTGTTTTGACTGGAGGTTGGTCTCTAAATGTTAGAGGTTAATATCATGCCCTAATCTGATGACAAACATTCAGTTTGGAGGAAGGACGTTGAAGTAGGAGCAGGTATAATGGGTCAATATATGTAAATTATTATTGATTTAGTTTCTGTTTCACACACTTTTGTGATAAAGTGAATAACTGCACTGCTGTTGTCACGTAATATGAGCAGATCATACAGCGGGAAAATGACGAACTGCTTATAATGTTATTTTATATCATACCTCTGCCTGGCGAGAGCGATGTGGAACGAAGGCCTGTATATCCTGGGTTGCCAGCTGTTCAACTCTAGGATCAGTTCAAAAGATTCATAAGACTCATAACATTCATAACATGATTTGTTTTCATGTTCATTTTCTTTTTCTCCAGTACATTTAGAAAGCAGTCTGATCAAAAATGCACCGCATGATTTCCACCTGCACTGCAGTTTCAAACGAGCCGGATTTCTTGGGAAAACCGCAGATCTTTCAACCCTGCATGACGGGGAAAGAAGCCATGAGAGAAACACGAACATGTGGAAAACACACACAGTTGTTGTGGTTGCCGTAGTGACGCTGCACGTTTAAATCCCTCCTGTTAAATGTAGTTTCACTACAGCAGCTGTTTTCAGACTTTTCTATGCAGTTTCACTACAATGGCTTTTATCCAGCTTCGTGCTAAGGGTGTTGCCCCCCCGTCACTTTTAGGGGGGTGGGGTGAACGACCCATTGCCCCTCCGCATTGCCGCCTATGGGCAGATGCTCCTGTGTGACAGGAAAGCTGATTACAATAACTGGAAATCATAAATAGGAGATACTGACGCAGTAGGATAAACTGTCATTTACTTACTTTCTCTTTCTGTTTGCTGTCCAGACCCTATGTCCACAGCTCTGTCCCCTCAGAAACCGAGAGAGGTGAAGGAGGATGAGGAAGAGGAGGAAGAACAGGGAGAGAAGCTTGAGTTTGAGGGCTGTAAGAAAGAAGGAGCTGCACTGAACAGATCGGCAGCATCGGAGACATCGGACTTAATCAAGGAGACAAGAACACAAATTTCAGTCACAGATATGACTGTTAAAAATGATTCAAACTCACGTTTGGATACTGCTAGAGCGCCCACTGCTGGTGTGGAGGATCCTACTGTGACAGTAGAAACCTGCATCCAGAGTACAGGTGCATTAAATAATTATTTTTATTTCATTAGGGATGCATGATGCTATACAAATCATATCATTATTGGCAGATATTTGTTTACTTAAATATTAGCAGATGTTTAGATTGGACAGAGAATATAAACTGATGTTTGATGTATTTATTTCACTTATTTCAGAATGTTGAGCTGATGCTGATTTACTGTGGTGAAATATCTGCATTTTATACACCAATCAGGCATAACATTACGACCACCTTCTTGTTTCTGCGCTCATTGTCCATTTTATCAGCTCCACTTACTATATAGGTGCACTTTGTAGTTCTACAGTTACAGACTGTAGTCCATCTGTTTCTCTGATACTTTGTTAGCCCCCTTTTACCCTGTTCTTCAGTGGTCAGGACCCCCATGGACCCTCACAGAGCAGGTACTATTTGGGTGGTGGATCATTCTCAGCACTGCAGGATCACTGAACACTGGTGGTGTGCTAGTGTGTGTTGCGCTGGTCTGAGTGGATCAGACACAGCAGTGCTGCTGGACTTTTTATGTCACTGCTGGACTGAGAATAGTCCACCAACCAAAACTATCCAGCCAACAGCGTCCTGTGACCACTGAAACACAAACTACGCTGACACACATGAGCTGCTGTCTCTGACTTTACATCTACAAGGTGGACTGACAAGGTAATAGAGTGGACACAGTGTTTAAAAACTGCTCTCAGCTTCATTATTAGAGCGAGACGAAGGAGAAAAAGGTGAGATGAGCTGCTTTTCCACCGTTTACAGGCTTTAACTTCTGTTCAGCGCTGCTGCCATGGTAACACTGAATGATGGCGCAGTGGAAAAAAAGCACATGAATTCCGATCTGAGCGTCACATTAAGGTCGCATGGCCACGAATCGGATACGTATCCGATCTAGGACCACATATGAAAGTGGCTCAGGTCGGATTTGAAAAGATCAGTTTTGTGTGTCCACACAGCCCTGAAAACATCAGATGTGAGTCACATTAGGGCAAAAAATTTCAGGACCATCTGCTAATGTGAACGTAACCTTTGATATAATGGGAGAAATAAGAATTGGCCAGACTCCCATTAAACCAGCTCTGACAGCAAAAGCAAATTTAAGACAGCAAACATTGGCTGATCAACAGTGTTTGGGGTGAAGGATAAAATTCAGTAAATTCCTTTAACTGCTGACTTATGAATGAATGCTTACAATGAGGGGCTCTGAATATTCTACAAAATTGTAAAAGCTGAATTTGTGTATGAATGGGAATATGAATAATTTGTTCTGTGTCGTATGCAGTTTGCTCTAGCAGGAGTTCTGTATCTGTTGCTGCTGGCTGAGACATACAGGCCAGTCAGGATTTCATTAAAGCCTTTCCTGGAGTTGTAGTTTGTTGTGGATAGAGATGTATTGTTGTGGGATCTAGTGGACTCGAGGCTGCACCAGCTCTAAGAAAAGCCTGTTACGTAACGCCAGTGTGTAAATAAGAACGCCGCTTAGATCAGTTCCATTGCCAATGTGTGCTTATATCCTGCATACTAGCATTATAATAAGCCTTTTCTGGTCAAATCCATGTTAGACTGTAATTGAATAGTTAAGCAAAGTTGGAGAGGAAAACCAGAAGCTTTTCAATGAAGAGTTCCTGCATTCATAAAGTGTACAATGGCCTATATTCATCAAAGCTGTGTAAGAAAAGAGGGCAGATTTAACATATGAACTACTTTGTGTCTGATTTGTTAAACTTTTGCTAGACTTTGAAATAAGCAGGGATTTGAGTGCAAATGGTGAATGTTTCAGTGCGTGAAATCAAGCGCTACCTAACCAGTACCTCATTTACATACCGTTTACATAAGGCACGCCATAATTCATGCAGATGTTTCAGTAGGATGCCAATAAAATGGCAACATTTCAGTGTCTCGTGACCATAGATATACATACCTAGATGCTGTATTGGGTCCAGCCAGGCACGCCAACTGCGCCGCCATTTTGGGGCGGTCAACATTGCTGCTGGACTGCATTCAGTACCATTACAGAGGAGCAGTTCAAAAAAGATGCTGTCCAAAATTACACTATTTCAGGAATATTACTCTCAGAAAGTGGGATAGGATTATATAACGGAGGGAACGCAGTGATCCACACTCATGTCTGTGTGACGTGTATTGTTTGTGTGATGTTTGTGTAGATGTGGCCGTGTGGTTGGTGAAGCACAGAGAACCTGTTGATGTGATTGTTTTTCCTCTGGTTTTATATTAAGCTTATTTCATTTAATAGTCTATTCAGGGGATCTTAACTTTATGTAGTAGTTATTTATTTACAGTGATGGTTAAAGCTTTGTAGCGGTAAATTATAGCATTCCTTAATCCGTGTAGATATTCATAATAGATTAACTTTAGCACCTTCTTACACGAAGCTGAAGTTAGATTCTTATTTGCCAGCATCATGTTTAAATTTTCCCGTTCCATCTTAAATGGTGCAGCTTCAGGCAACAGAATGTAACTCGCACAAGAAGCTGGCGAATAGGAAGCCAACTTCAGCTTCGTCCTTCTTACTGTGTTTTGGGGGTTTATTTTATTTTTATGTGTATTAAGATTAGAAGTGATTCACACATTGATGGATTTGCTGATGTGTCTGATTATGTTTCTTGTGCTGAACTCAGTTTTTAATGTCAGACGAAGTCTGAATACTTTCCTGCTGGTCCGGACGGCTAATTATCACGATCAGTTATTAAAGTAATAAAAGCTACCGAGAGCAGATCCGTGCAGCCTGGATTAATCTGTGTCTGAGGACTATAACAAAACAGATTTGGTGAAAATCGGTTGAGTAATAAGGAAGTTGTGGCTGATTTAATCCTGAGACTCTTCGTCTCTCAATACAAGTGAATTTATTCACAAGCGGATCGTGACCTCTCCAACATGGCGGACACTCAGACGTATCACCTCAGATAGAGAACAACAGAGAACACAGCATCTGGGTATGGATATCTATGCTCGTGACCCATCGGCTGTGCTCGTAGGTGGAGTTTGACGTTGAGCATTTGAGTGCGCAGCTCCCCCTACTGACCAAACTTTATAGTGTTCAAATTACAATGACTGGAAAGAATAAAATGTGAATCGTTAATAGGCCTCATTCACCAATATCTTCCTAAGTTTGTTCTTAAGTGTGTTCTTTAGAAAGGTCCTAATAAAAAGTCCTTTGTTCTTTAGAGTGTGTGTAGATTCTGTTCTTCCCTAAGAACAAACCCCACATAAGAAAACACTGGTGAGTCGGAATCATCGTGAAAACTGCGTAATTGGGTTTTAAGAAGAAATTTTTTTTTAAGAATGGTTGGTGAATGAGGCCCAATGTTTTTTTTTTTTTTAAAGCAGTAGATTGATGTAATTGTGTAGTGTAGTATTTTCCTAAAATAATTTAATGCTGTTTTATTGCAGTGTATGAGATGCCGCTGCACTAGCTGTGTTGTTTGTTTTATTTTTTGGATGATGTCAGTAGTATAAAACAAAAGCACGGTGTAATGTGTGTTTAAATGGAACATGAAATAGTTGCAGCCTTTGTCTATACCAGGCATGTCAAACTGGAGGACCATCCGGGCCAAAATGCTGCAGAGATCAGTGTTTACCCTCATTTAACGCTCTGAATTCAGTGAATTGCTATTTAGATGAGCTGAATCAGGTGTGTTTAATTAGGCAGTGAGCTGAAGTCTGCAGTGTTTTGGCCCGCGAGGACAGGAGCCTGACACATGCAGTCTATACCAATGTGTAAAGTTATTTCAATGCTTAATTTTTTCAGTGTGGAAGAGTGCAAATAATATCCCATAGTTCATAGCTCCTGCAACATTTATAAATATGTCTCAGTGTCAGTCATGAGGCTTGTAAAAATGCTGTATTTGGGAAGAAGAATCTCATTTATCATTATTTCCAATTTTTAGGATGTGATTTTGATTGTAAAACTAGTCATAAATAACAGTTTTATTTTATTTATTTTTTTTATAACGTTTTTCTTTTTCTCGTAGGTATGCCATCATCGGAAAGCATAACGCAGTAAGTATTCTGCTGGGTTATCTGATTTTCATTTAAACAGTAGCACTCTATAGAAGTGAAGGGTGCTTTTTTAAGTGCTTTGCTTCATGGAAAATGTTTTATTGTCCCTTAAAAAGCTTTAGTAACACTTCAAATTAAGTGAATTAATCACCTTTAACTTCCGCTTCAGTGTTCACTTAACATTATTTCAATGCATTATGGGAGAAAACTGCAGTGAAACATTTTAAGGCTGTCCTTTCCTGTTTTGTGCATCAAACTGATTTACATAGTCATATTTCTCCTAAAGTGTCCCTCTCAGAAGATCAGAGCATCTAAGTCATTACCAGAAAGGTCAGCTTACCTGCAGCTAGTGAAGGCATGCAAATGTTCAAACCTTGTTGTACAGCAGATTATCTTTTGTGAAACCTGAATTAGGGAATCTCTCACTGATCTCAGCCCTGGTCCACAGCCAGTCGAGACGCCCTCCACAACCTTAAGACACCTTAAGACTAGCAACATCATGAAATGTTCAGAAAACATCTTTAACAAGTGATGCAGTTATGCTTAAAAGGAGTAAAAGGAGGGCAAGATCCAAAACCACAACCGAATATCCGGGACTCTCAGTTCCTCAGATGGCACTTCATTAAAAACCGGCATGCTTCTGTGATGGATATCACCATATGGGCTTCGGAATATTTTTCTGGATCTTTTTCAATAAATGCATTAATCGCTACATCCACAAGTGCAAGTTAAGACTGTACAATGCACAGCAGAAGCCATATGTCAACAACATGCAGAAACACCGCTGACTTCTCTGGGCTTGAGCTCATCTAAAATGAACTGATGCACAATGGAAACGTACTGTGTTGTATGTAATTTATTGATTCTACAAGGGACGTTTGTCATTTTTTTTGTCACAACTATGCCCAGTCTGGGAGCAGCACAGTGTCGCCAGCAGAGTAGCGCCACCTAAGGCAGTGTGGGGTTAAGTGCCTTGCCCAAGAACACAACCAAATCCTAGGCTGCAGCCGAGGTAGTGCGGGTCCTTGGAAGGGCTGTCCTATGAAGAGTCCTTCTTAGTAGCCCTTTGGTCACTCAGATGGAACAGTCCTAACGACTGTTTTTTTTTATTCGTTCACGGAAATGGAGGAGATGATCTTACGTAGTACATAAAAAAAAAATACGATATACGATATATGGACGAATTCTTTAATAAATCAGTCATTTTACTCTTTATAAGGTGACAAAGACGAATTCAAGGATGTGAATAACTTACATTTTAAAACAAGCTCTGCTCCAACGGCTTCGTTTTCCGTTATTTTCGTGATGTTGTGTTTGTTTTTTTTTCCCTATGTTGTTCGTGCCCAAAGAACTGTGGGCAACCAAAGGCCTGGAATTATACATCTGATGTGTCCTTGAAATCACTCAGAACGCAGGCTGCATTTCTAGGCTGTATATGAAGGGTTCTTCACTTATGACGTGTGATGCTATGATGTAGCGACCGAGAAATGCGGCCTGGGCTTTGGAACGCAGCTCCAGCCAGTCCTGCAATTTCGCATTGAAATAATGAACTTTGTCAAAGAAGAAGAGAACAATCCAGATTGTTACCAGCGTAAAGTTCAAAAGCCAGGATATGTCACGGTGCCCATCTGTAAAGGCATAATCGACGCTGGGATATACACATTTTGGTGTACAACATATGCTGCCTTCTAGTCAACATCTTTTTCAGGGATGTCCATGCAAATTTACACAGGACACCACTGGGCCACATTCTGCCTGTTACAACAGCATGGCTGTGCAATCAGCTCCTGTTGAACACGTGGCGCATTATGAAGTACAAAATACGACAACAAAGACCTCATACGGCACTGCTAAAGTGTTATATAATAGAAGAAACCCAAAAACCCAAAATGTTTTATTAAATGTTGTTAAAAGGGCAGGGGCACATTGATAAACATGCTTCTGTCTCAGCTTTTTTGGAATGTGTTGCTGGCATCAAATTTGGAATAAGTGTATATTTTAACAGAAAACAAACAGAAAAATAAAGTTTATAAGGTAAAACATCAAATATCCTGTTTTTATATCATTTAAATTTAATACAGGTCGAACAAAATTTATGAATTCCTTTTTTGGAATTGAGATTATTTTTAGAATCCCTCATGCAATGTTGCAGAATTCATAAAAATTGTAATTGACAGGGAAAAGATTGTTCAGATGTTATTTATTGTGGACTTAATCTGCAGGAAATATACATCAAATCTAAATCTTTTATGGGCTCTTCCTCTTGTCTTCCTCTCTAATGCAAGAATAGGTTGTATTTTTTTTCAAACCCTTGGCTTAGCGATGACATGGGGGGGGGTCATCGTCGGCCACTGGCCCACTTCAGTGTGGATGTATGGTGGAAAGCATGTAACCATAGGCTGTTGCTGCTGTTCCTGTGGGCTTTCCTGTCCTGAGAGATGAGTCCAGATCAAGCCCCTCTTTAGCTCCTGCCACCTCACTGTTTTTGCTGAGTGTATGTTTCCACCACCCAGATGTCAATATTTCACTGCAGGCCAGAACTATCAATAGCTTTTTCCACCAATCTCCTGAGTCAGCAGTCTGCATTCACTCTCTAAGTGCAGTAAAGTGAGGAGGTGAAGCAAAGTTGTAGCTCATGAAAATCATTTAAAGGAAAAATAAATATGTAATAATATAAATAAATAAATGCATACCTGAATATCGCTGCTTTCAGAAGAAAACCCTCATATCTATCTCTCTCTCTCTCTCTCTCTATATATATATATATATATATATATATATATATATATATATATATATATATTGCCTAGCAACTGCATAGCCTGTATATACCTCTGCGCCAAATTTCAGAATATACATTTTAGGTCAAAATCTTATCTCATACAACAGTTGGCTCAGACATCACTGAATTCATAACCATTCCATGTAATATCTTTCTGTGATTTAAACCCAGAAATAAATAGGTAAGATGTAACTAAAGTAATTTAAAGTAATTTGGTGTGACATGAGGAACTAGAAAACTGTTCACAGTGGTGGTGATAGGAACCGAATGTCTGAAGCATTTGGTGCTTAAAAGCTCCCTCACAGAAAATCATTATATGAAATAGTTACAGATGTCCTGTCTGATTTCTTAGCCACTGTTTTACAGGTTTTGAGAGGCCTCTGGACACATGTAGATTCACTAGTTCCATCCATCCATCCATCATCTAAACCACTTATCCTTCTGGGTCGCGGTGGGGTGCTGGAGCCTATCCCAGCTGTCATTGGGCGGAAGGCAGGATACACCCTGGACAGGTCGCCAGTCCATCACAGGGCAGACAGACAGACAGACACATTCACACTCACACACTCACTCACACCTAGGGGCAGTTTTAGCATGTCCAATTGGCCTGACTGCATGTTTTTGGACTGTGGGAGGAAACCGGAGTACCCGGAGGAAACCCACGCAGACACGGGGAGAACAGGCAAACTCCACCTAGAAATGACCCTGGTCACCCGGCCGGGAATCGAACCCAGGCCATTCTGATTCACTAGTTGTTTAGATAAAATAATTTAATAATAATTTAATTGTAGACATTGTGACCCCTGGTTCCCATCACCGCCATTGAGTCTGTAAGTTTCTCTACGATGAACCATTTTACATCAAACCACCCCGATTGACTTTGTTTACATCTCAACCACTTAATTATGCAGAAAAATCTGTGAAATTCCTCTTTAAATGCTTCAGGCGTCTGGTTCCTATCACCAGCACAGTGAACTATTTTTTTGATGACCACACCCACTTGTAGGAGACCACACCCCCTGTCCCTTTCCACTCACTGCCAGATGACTAATACTAGATGCCCATTGATCTGTCGGTGGGGTTTTCTGCACTCTGTGCAGTCTTTAATGAACAGTAATGATTGTTTTGGGCCTGTTGGGAACAGCTGGCAGGCTCACAGCCTGGTGCACTGCAGGAGACTCTGGAGAAATAAAGCACAGTAGCTTTGAAGCGTACTAGCAGTGTTAGCAAAATGTTCACAAGAGTGAGGAGGAGGAGGAAATGCAGGTAAACATCACCCTCAAAATTCAACCTGTGGGTTAGAATGCGTTCAGAGGGAGGGGGTTAGTGCGGAACACAGGCTAGTCAGTGTCAAGACAAAAGCAAATGCGTTGTCAGCTCTGTCTGCGCAAGTGTAAGAAGTCTTCAGGTGCGCGGTGCTCACGGCTATCTCATTTACATTCTGCTGCGGAACACCTGCTCTTTGCCTGTGTGGAAGCTCCTGGGATTAGCTGTTATGCACAGCCTTTGAGATGCCTTTGTATTCTGTGCTATGATGAATAGCTGCTGTAAATTCTTTGTCTGCATTGCATTGTGCCTCTCAGATTTCCCCATTATACATATTTCAAACTGCTACTGGTGGTGGCTTCACGGTTTGTAGTTTATGAGCAACGCTTGCTGTATTTTTGAGAGTTATATGTTTGATGACACAAAGATATACCAGTGTACCTACACTCGTTGGCCATTTTATCAGAAACACTTACTGTATGGGTGCACTTTGTGAATTTACAATCACTGGACTTCGGACATAGCCTAAATACACTATAGAGTGAATAAGGCATAGTTTTAGACATGTCCCAGATACACAATACAGTGAATAAGGCATAATTTTAAACACAGCCCGAATACACTATATAGTGAATAAGGAGTAGTTCTGAATGTGGCCTAAATACACTATATAGTGAATAAGGAGTAGTTCTGAATGTGGCCTAAATACACTGTATAGTGAATAAAGCATAGTTTTGGACATAGCCCAAGTACACTATATAGTAAATGGGAGTAGTTCTGAACATGGCCGAAATACACTATAGTGAATAAGGAATAGTTCGGAACATGGCCCAAATACATTGTATAGTGAATAAGGAATAGTTCTGAACATGGCCCAAATACACTATATAGTAAATAAGGAATAGTTCTGAACGTGGCCCAAATACACTATATAGTGAATAAGGAGTAGTTCTGAATGTGGCCTAAATACACTGTATAGTGAGTAAAGCATAGTTTTGGACATAGCCCAAGTACACTATATAGTAAATGGGAGTAGTTCTGAACATGGCCCAAATACACTATATAGTGAATAAAGAATAGTTCTGAAGTGGCCTAAATACACTGTATAGTGAATAAGGCATCATTTTGAACACAGCCCAGATACACTATATAGTGAATAAGGCATATTTTGGATATATCGCAAATTCAATGTATAGTAAATATAGAGTAGTTTTGGTTATAGCCAAAATACACTATAAAGTGAACAGAGAATAGTTCTAATTGTGGCCCAAGTACACTATATAGTGAATAAGGAATAGTTCTAAATGTGGCCTAAGTAGTTTTTTACATAGCCCAAATACACTATATAGTGAATAAGGAATAGTTCGGAACATGGCCCAAATACATTGTATAGTGGATAAGGAATAGTTCTGAACCCGGCCCAAATACACTATATAGTGAATAAAGTCATCATTTTGAATACAGCCCAAATACACTATGTGGTGAATAAAGCATAGTTTTGGACATAGCCCAAGTTCAATACGTAGTGAGTAAGTCATATTTTGGATATATCCCAAATTCAATGTATAGTAAATATAGAATAGGTCTGGTAACAGCTCAAATACAATATATAGTGAATAAGGCGTAGTTTTGAGCGTGGCCCAAATATACTATACAGAAATAAAGACATAGTTTAGAACATGGCCCAAATATACTGTGTAGAAAATAAGGCATAGTTTTGGGCATAACTCAAATACTGTATATATAAAGAATTAGGCATAGTTTTTTTAACATAGCCAAAATACACTATATAGTAAAGAAGGCACCGTTTTGGACTTATATACTGTACTGAAAGTAAGGCATAGTTTTGAACATGGCCCAAATACGCTATTTAGAAAATAGTATAACCTATATATAAAATAAGGGACGGTTTTGGACATGGCCTAAATACACTATTTAGTGAATAAGGTATCATTTTGAACACAGCCAAAATGCACTATTTAGTGAACTAAGGATTGTTTTAGATGTGTCATAAATACACTATGTGGTAAATGAGGCATAGTTTTGTACTCAGCCCATGTAAACTATATAGTGAATAAGGCATTGTTTTATACTCGGCCCAAATAGTGCATTATATAATGAATAAGGCATGGCTTTCAACAGCGCACAAATACACTATATCAATATAAATATAATTTCAGATACAGCCTTAGTTCTTATTATGTTCTTGTAATGAAGAGCCGGTGATAGCGATGGAAAGAGCTGGGTGTACATAGAATTTCACTCCGTCTGTTAATGAACTGAAAAAATCTATGCTTTTGAAGTGGAGGAATTTCTTCCTACATGTAATTTCTCTTATTCTGAGAACAGAGCATGATGAGTCACTTTGAGCCCTACAGCGTTATCAGTCTGGATCCCTGTGTAAACACCCAGGCCTGTGGGTCATGTGTGAGTGAGGTTTAGCTTTAAATCCACTGGGATTGTAGGCGTAAGGCTAATAAAGAAAGTAGAGGCCCTCCTCTGTTTTTCTTTCTTCTGCATAAACAGAAATGTGGATGGACAAAGTCGCAGTGTTAGCACAAAACAGAAACTCAGTAAACATCATCCTGGTGGAAACGTGTTTGAAGCTGCCTCAGCTGAAATGCTTGGCAAATGTTTAAATGCCAGAGCAGCCCATTTGAGTGCACGTCCATCCGTTCTGTCCGCTTAAGCTGACTCAGTCTAGTGATACTTCAGTGAAATCTCTAATTAAATACAGTTTTACACCAGCCAATACCAGGTTGGTGTCCAAAGTTTTCTTCTTCATTTTAATAATAATAATAATAATAATAATAATAATAATAATTGAACAATAATTTTTATTTATATAGCACTTTTCATGCCGGTGGCAGCTCAAAGTGCTTTACAGACAGAAGATAAAAAGCAGTTATACAAGAAATTATAAGTATTAATCTAGAATTATATAAGAAAACGACACAGATCAAATTAGAAGATAAAAACCATGTGACGTAGTTTTAATTAAATGCTGAGTTAAAGAGCTGCATTTTTAGCTGCTTTTTAAAAGTGAGCTCTGAGCTTGATGGTCTTATAAAAGGTGAAATTGAGCTCCAAAGTTTAGAAGCAGAATACCTGAATGAGTTTTTCCATGTTGTTTGTATTTTACTGAAGATGTTTGTAGAAGGTCAGTATCTGCAGATCTAAGATCATAAACAGACACACTCTGTGATGTTAGCGGTGCTTTAAGGTCATTTAGAGCCTTAAAATCTAGTAGCAGAGCTTTAAAATCTACCCTGAATGATACAGGCAGCCAGTGCAGCTCTTCCTCGAGTTGTAAAGGATGTATTTTGCGTTGGAATAATGTGGCTAACAAGTAATGGAACCCTTCAATTAACATTGCTACCATAACACTACATGACATACTATATAAAAATCTATAAAAATTAACCAAAGTTTGTTGCATAGCTAAACGCAGCAGTAGCAATTATGATGAATGGTGATTTTTTTTCCCTTTTTCTATTTGAACACATAACAGTTTGTATACACTGTCAGAATTTTGTATCAGTTGAGGTAGTTCGAGGCATATGTATGATTATTTAGGCCAGATTCCTTATGGGAAAGACTGTGGTGATCTTAGCAGCGCCCCCTGCTAGTCATTTCCAGGTATACAAGACCAGGCTCCTATCTCTGAATGGAGAGAGACCTATAAACCCCACAACTGATGGCCACATTAATGTGTGTGCATGCTCTGTCACCTCATAGGTTTCCATAAAAAAGATTCATGCAAAAAAATTCTGTTAAGTCAGTGCAGCCATGTGAAGTCCCAAAGCTCTGCTCCAGTTGGTTTTTAGTTATATTTTTTAGGTTTGCCTATTAGAATCTACATTACAGTGTACATTGTCTGTAACACTGTTTACAGAATGACTGGACTGAGCTGAAGTATTAGCTGAGTATATATAAGAATACTTATTCTTATTTCTTGATTCTTTACAATGTGGTGCTTTAGTGCTAGTCAGTGGCTTCAGCAGGTTAACAGGTTCATTTCTTGGATGATGCACCTTTTTAAATCGTATTGTGCAGTATGCAAAAAGGGTTTTATGTGGGAATCCTATGTTTCTAGCAAATCTATGAATTATTACATGTCTGCATGCAATTTTTTTGAAGTTAAATGAAGGGTTGATAACGGCTTCACAACTGAAAATGCATTTTTTGGTCCTTTGTTTCCTCAAAAGGACTGGATGGATGGATGGATGGATGGATGGATGTGAGAAAGTTATCAGGCTGTATTAGATAGATAGATAGATAGATAGATAGATAGATAGATAGATGTGAGAAAGTTATCAGGCTGTATTAGATAGATAGATAGATAGATAGATAGATAGATAGATGTGAGAAAGTTATCAGGCTGTATTAGATAGATAGATAGATAGATAGATAGATAGATAGATAGATAGATGTGAGAAAGTTATCAGGCTGTATTAGATAGATAGATGGATAGATAGATGGATAGATAGATAGATAGATAGATAGATAGATAGATAGATGTGAGAAAGTTATCAGGCTGTATTAGATAGATAGATGGATAGATGGACAGATAGATAGATAGATAGATGGATAGATAGATAGATAGATAGATAGATAGATAGATAGATAGATAGATAGATAGATAGATAGATAGATGTGAGAAAGTTATCAGGCTGTATTAGATAGATAGATAGATAGATGTGAGAAAGTTATCAGGCTGTATTAGATAGATAGACAGATAGATAGATAGATAGATAGATAGACAGACAGACAGACAGACAGATAGATAGATAGACTGTTAAAGACTGTATATATCGTCGCTGTCCAATGAAAAACACACAGGGAGATTCACTCGAAAGAGGCCCCGAATATTCTGCTGTAACTCCTGCTAGGATGAAGCAATTTGAACCAAAAAAATACGCTACATATCTTCACGTGTGTGTAATCGATTGCATCACATGCGATGCTGGAAGTGATCTCCGTTTTCTGCCAGACACATGAAGGGGTACAGGGGTCTGCATCCGGAAGTTGCAAACAGAGGTTAAACGTTGCGATGGCTGTCCGGTGCCTACCATCGGTCCGACGCAGGGGCATCCTGGCTTGTCCGAAGCTCCGTATACTGAGGAACACATTGCACGTGGTTCGGTTCAGATTGCTTCATCCTAGCAGGAGTTAATACAGAATATTTGGGGCCTCTTTCGAGTGAATCTCCCTGTATATCTCCATCTTTTGCAATTTTTTCTCCATCATTTGAGCTCAGCAGCTGTCCTTTACATTGTGTGAAAATTTCATGATGATTGGACCAATAGAAATGCTCCAAAATTGCTTAGAATAAAAACTCTTTCCATTAACTTACATTGAAAGTAAAGAGTGTTTTTGCCCTCTGCTGAGAAGTTACTATTTTGGAGATGCTTGACAGTGACTATTTAAATGCCCTGATTGGCTGTTAGTCAAAAAGCAGTCTAAGCTGAAACACTCCTTATCCTTCAGTATGAGTGGGTGGAGCTAAACAGGTAGGCTGAATAGGTGGATGTATGTAAATGCGCTGCTTTTTCAGCTTAGCTTCCATTTATTGCCCATATGGACTGAAGAGTGAACTGTAAGTTTTAGAATATTTGTATTCTGACTCAAAAACAACAAAAAAAGCAAATAAATGTTCAGTTTGCTATGAACACTTTGAACTCAGTGCTAAAGAGTCCATATCATGGCAGAATATTGCTGGTGCCATCTCAGACTGAAGTCTCTACTCTCCCACTCACTTCCTCATACTCACAGCCTCGTAATGACCTCAGAGCAGTGACTCCCCCAAGGGCCTGCACTAACTCAGCTCTGGTTCTGGGGGAATGTTTTAGAGATCTGGCCTCAGGGAGCCCTGGCTGCTTGGTGGGAGAACAGGGCCCGGGTGCAGCTGCACAGAAGGACCTACCAGAGTTCATCGTGGAGAGAAAGAAGGCCACAGGCAACACATCACATTGTACTGGAGGTGAGAGTCCTTTCATTTTCACTGCTTTTATTATGTGTGTTGCTATTGCTGGTTCTTTTTGCGAAATAAAGCTTAAACTACTGTCAGAATCAAGCTTAGACTACTGATACAGTAATGCCTAAACTACTGATAGCATAAAGCTTAGTCTGCTGACTGAATAGAGCTTAGACTGCATCTACAATCAAGCTTATCTTGTGGGAAGATAACCTTGTAGCTCCAAATAGTAACTTTACAGGAGAAGGAAAAAACCTGCTTTACTTTTAATGTAACTCAATGGAACCAGACGTCTTTCCAAGTAATTTTCCAAGTTTCTTTTGGTCCATTTATCATGAAATTTACACACAGTGTAAAGAAGAACAGGTATTTTCAAATTATGTCAAAAACCGAAAAACGACAAAAATGGAGATACAAGGTTTTCTTCTGACGGCAGTGATGTGATGTGCTACTTCTAAAATCAGTTTACCTTAATTTAATTTAATTTACAAGTAGAGAACACAAACGTGCCTACTTATCGTGTTATCATGCTAATTCAACAGGTGCTAAAAACTATTGAGTATGTGCTCCTTTATGATAAAAGCCTCAACCACAAATCGCAGTATAAGCAAATGGTTGTTCGTGTTAGACTGTGGGAAGGTGACGAGATATTTTAGCTCACAGCTTACGAGACGTGTGTTGACCGTCTGTTGCAGCATTTTAACCTCTTATTCACCTGGGGAAAATTTTAGTTTTTCCGTCTGAATTTAAATGTAATTGTAAATTGTAAATGTACAATATTTGTTTTATAAAAGTTTTATGATCATACTCATATTGCTATTTGCTTACAATTTACTGCTGAAAGCCAAAAAACTCACACGCTCTTTGTATTATTTTATAAAAATAATGTTTACAGAGCAGATCACTGAAGAGACGCCATCTGTTTATAGTTTCTATATAGTATATATAGTTTATATATGAGTTCAGCTTCTTTTATTATAAGGGTTTAAAATGACATCACCCATCTATTTGACTGGAAAGAAGACAGTTACAGCTCTCATACGACCCCCACCTTTAGAATGTAGCTTATGAAATATGAAAGTTATGAAGAATATGACGAAGTGCGTTTTGGAACCACTGGTGGTGTCAAGGAGTTGAAAATGTTTTAATTTCTGGACACAATGCTTAACAAGTGTCAGTCGAAGTGAATTGGAAGTTTGTACACATATGTTTCCTAAATTAAGTTAAATAAACAGACTGTGATTCTGTGCTATTGAACATTGGAAGCTGTGGGCTGCACATTGAAACCAGGGTTTCTTGCTGTTTAAGTTACCCCAACAGGGAAATCTCCACATTTTAACCCATCCATGCAGTGAAACACCACATACACACTAATGAACACCCACACGAGGGGGCAGTGAGCACACTTGCCAGGATCTTTCTCAATAACACATTTAGGCCTATCTTGAAAAAATAAATGAAAAGAACATTAAAGAGCTGAAAAAATTGACCAACACTGCATTCCTTTCTACAGCCAAACAAGTAGCTCCTTTCCTAAACACACACCAGACAGGTGCACTGTTTGTGTGTGAGGATACACATCGTGTACTAAGAGATGCAGGGGTTCTCAACCTTTTCCACCCCAAGGCCAACATTTTTATAAATACAAAGAACAGCGGCCCTCAGGAAAACTAAACTCAGCCTTTTAAATGTAATTTTCTTTTTCTTTTCTGAAGTGCTGAAGGTAAAAACCTGAGAATCAGATCAGGTCGTCCATTTTCAATGACGGGTCTCAAAATTTGCAGCTGTGTTAAAATATATTTGCCAAGATGTTAAAAAAGGGGAAAAAAGCAAAATAATAGAAATGTACAAGGTGGACTGTGATTTGGAGCTGTAGTACAGCGTTTTCACTGAAAATGCTCGACTGCCTTTGGTCTCGAGATTTCTCTTTAGTTTTGAGGGTATTTGTGATTACTTTGAAACAGCCAAACCACAGTCCACTCACCGGGCTTTTAGATTAGCGTCGTCATAATCAACAATATGAATAGACCCTGATTTCTGCTTTTTTATCATTGGTTTATCAGATTGAGTTTAACCAATCGCGTCGCTGATTAGTGGCCAAAAATGCGCTCCTATCCAAGAACCAAAATCAAACACATCTCTTTACTGTTATTTTATTTCACTGCAGCTCGTGGTGCGGAAACGAGAGCTAATGAGTGTCTGTAAAGAGTCTGAATACGGGTGGAGTTTTTTACAGCTGTCAAAACAGAGCGAACTGAAGGAAAAGTCTGATATGTCCACAACAAACAAGGCAGGTGTGAAAGCACTCTGAGAAACGTCTCCATCTCTGACTAACTGTCTGCATGGCGACCGCGGCTGTGTTGTCTCAAAGTGATGATGTAAAATGTTTATTATTCGTACGTCTATTGGTTATAATTTAACAACGTTCGCATCTCGGTACTTAATTATTAAGTTAGTCTTTTTTCCAGGTATGTTTTTGTGACGTTACTGGTCCACTGCGAACTACTTCCTCTGGCCCGCAGACCACTACAGGGTGCTCGGCCCACTGGTTGAGAAACCCTGGCCTAATGCAGCGATTCATTAAGCCTCAGGTCATGAAGGAACTTCGACAAAGCTGATGAAAATTGATCTCTCCAGAAAAAAGAACCATCGTGATTAGAAATGAGCTGATGTTAGTTTTGTTGCAGTTGCAGTTTCTTTTCAAGCAACTGTCAGCATCACTGAACTGTGCATCACTGAACTGTGGGAGCTGCAGTTTAAGCCAGACTGCAGAAATATCTCGAGTGCAATTGCGAGGTAAGATGTTTGAGAAAGTGCCCGTCGAGTACACACTTGGTCAGGGCATGTCTGCCTTGGAACGAGACTCATGGCCTCTAATGGGGAGAAGTGCCAAGATGACATGAGGATGTTAAAGATTATAGCTGATGCCAAGAAAGTGGATCCAGCTAAATGTGATGACATTCTCTGACAGTTTGTTGAGATCACTGGCACCACTGTGGCCAGCAAGCCGTCAGAGTGCTGAGCCTTTCATTGAAGTGACAGTGGATGTTCTGGCTGAAGGGTCTGGATACTCAGAAATATGGCTCGTATCCTGTGGCCTGTTGCTTCTCTCACATGGCCCAGCCAGGGTGGGGTGTGGATTGTCTATCAATAAGGAACTTGAGGTTGAGAATCTATGCCAGGGATGTCAAACGTAACTGCTAAAAGGGTCATATTAAAAATCTCAACAAATCCATGGGCCTGAGAACGTGTATGATTTATTTCATTTTTAATTAACCCTCTACTGCGCGCGTTATGAGGGTAATATAAAACTTTCTTGCTTAAAATGGTCCTTGATTATTAAATTATATAATTATAAAATTATATATTGTGATTATTATGATTGGTCCTGATTATTACGTTCAAAACATTTGTAAAAAATACTAATGTGTGCAGGGGTCTTTTTGGAGTATGTTGCCTTGAGGCAACATTGTGTGACAATGGGAAGAAATGACATAGAGCTGTGTTCCCTGAAGTGGTGAGACCTGGCTTGTGACTGGCTAAATCCATTCCATTGTCGCATAATGTTGCTTCTATGCAACAAACCTATTTCTGCAAATTCTCATAACAAAAAAATTGATACTGAATGTTACAAAAGAGGTTTAAAAGTGCCCAACAAGAGACAGTTTGACCACGCACATGCCTTTTATTGACTTACTCAAACTCTTCCCATTATTGTTGACCCTGTTATTGTCTTTAAATATGTATAACGTTACTGTAAAGTGAGGAAAATGAGTTTGTTGCCCTGAGGCAACATTGTGCCATAGAGGGTTAATATTGTGCTATAACTTGAACTGGCCATTGTTCATTCAAAATATGCAAAAACATCAGCAGTAAAATACAGACACTTGTAGTAGACCTTGAAATAAAATATGAATACTTGAAATATTCTAAATTTACATATCCCCAAGAGCTCAGTCTTTTAACCCTCAAAAAGCCGGCCCTTTTTTCCATTTTCCGCCTGAAATTACACACCCAAATATTGAGGCTTTTTACTTAAGCAGTACATAAACTAGAGAGAATTTCATGCTGTAATGTTACTGAAAAGCCTTCAAAATTGTAATTGAAAACATTTAAAGATGTTGAAATGAATCTGTAATGATCAAAATAAGATAAAAACAAAAAAAATAGCTGCTTTCCTAAATTTAATGATATAAATTATATTTTTGTGTCTACAAATTAAAAAATTCATGTCCTCCAACACCCCTTGTGTCACCAGGGGTCTGCTTTCACCATGCAAAATTTGGAGTTGATTCCTCCTACTGATTTGAAGTTATTCAAGCTAATTCAAACGAATGTCGTGCGCCTCTGATGGCCTCTCCAAGTGGCCTTTTTGACTTTTCCAAGTGGCCTCTTGGGGTCTCCAAAGTCCCCTAGCCTCTCCTACATGTACACCGCTAAATTTCCACTGGACCAAAAGTGAAAAGATGAAAATCTCAATAGAGTTAAATATGCTCAAAAAATGATCAAATGCACAAATATTGTGATGTATCGTATCGTATCGTATCGTACAGCCTCTTGTGATTCCCATGTCTGGTAGCTATTTTCACACCAAGGGATAGAAAGTCCTGGACATGTCTCACGGCTGCCTTTGCTGTGTTTAAACTTCGCTTTGAGCTGAATTGAAATGGCCACTTCACTATCTTGTTCTCCCTAAAGTATCTGCCTGTTTCTAATGAGAATCTGTCTTTTTGTCTTTGTGCCGTGTATTAAGCCTCACCTTTCAGCTTTCATAAAGAAAGCATCAAAGAAAAAAGTCCAAATGAAACGTCCCCGTCTTATTAAACTGACCGCGTGGCAGTGGATGATGAAATGGACTCGTTCTCTGCCAAGGTCAAACAGAATTCTGTATTAATAAAGGAAAAACACTGAATTCGTATTAAGGATGGAGTTCATTAATCTTTATACTGCACGGTAACTTCTGAATATGCAGGCTTTGCTCATCAGAATTCATAGACCTTGGAAAG